GGTCAGAATTCAGAACCTGGGCTCTTTTTAAAAAGGCAGCGACATCAACAGACATATTTGAAGGCATTTCTTCCAGGAACTACTTTTCAGTGACTGTGCACACAAAGGACGGAGACAGAGCTGAGACAACAGCAGGTGCCTTGGCAGAGTCAGCAGCCTGCTCTGGGGAGCCTAGGGGTTTGCACAAGGAAAACCCAGCCACAGCCGTAAGGTTTTATTGACAGCGCCTGCATGAAACTCTCTGAACTTGAACACACAAGCCAAATATAATTAAAGCACCAAGTTTTGCTAAAGGTTCAAACATGAGCGTTTGAAAGCCTTAAAGCCAAGTGGGCCAGTCGTGTCAAATGCCAAGGTCTACAGAGGAGTGCCCCCATCAGCCCAGGATCAGAGCTTTGCCAGGATGCATGAAATCCTTGAGACTGTAGGAAGTACCAACAGGCCATGTCCAGCAAAACCATAAAGAGACAACGCAGTACTTGGTGGCTTGTTTCCACGTCTGATCTGTCCTTCTTTTTTTCTGGAGCCTCCTATTTGCAACTTCTCTCAGGAAAACATGGAATATTAACCACGGATTTACATAGAGTTGTTGCTTATCCAGGAGAATGTGGAGATGGGACTTGAACTTGGGAGTTCAGGGAAAGGCCTCATCCTAATGGTCTCACACTTCACACTGGCTGAGTGTGTGCTACCTCTGTGCACTTCCACGGGTGCTGGCAATGGGTGCTTTCCTCAACCTGGCTTTGGGTCTGTCTTCCTGTTCCTCCAGCAAGCACTGGATTTGGGCCTTGGCCACAGGACGATGCTTTTCACCACCTGACCTCTTCCAGATGCTCACTCCCACAGCACAGTGGGGTCTGAGAGAAGAGAAGACTGAGAGCCATCATCATGTATCTGAGCTTGGGAGAACAAGAAAGCCTAATGAAACTGTTCATCATTGCCAATTAAGACAAATAATTGAAGATGGTTACTCAACAATTGAAAACTCACACTTAAAAAAAAGTGAAGCCTACCCAGTGTGGCTTGGTGGTTGAGCATCAACCTTATGAACCAGGAAGTCACGGGTTCGATTCCCAGTCAGGGCACATACCTAGGTTGCATATGGGAGGCAACTAATCTGTTTCTCTCTCATATCATTAGTTTTCATTTAGAATGAATGTGTTTGTTACCACAGCCTGTATCTTGCATAAAGCATTTTCTCTGAAACAATAGTTTTGTGTATTGTTCTCCTTTCATTACCTTAAAGCAGTGGTTCTCAACCCTCGCTGCACATTAAAATCACTTGGGAATCTTTTTAAAATCCTGATTTCTGGGCCTCATCCTCCGGAAATTCTGTTTCTTTGTTATGGGGTGGGGCCACAACATTAGTAACAAAGAAACAGAATTTCCAGAGGATGAGGCCCAGAAATCAGGAACTTAAAGATTCCCAGGTGATTCTAATGTGCAGCCAAGGTTGAGAACCACTGCCTCAAAGCCTAGCCAAGTCTCAATAAATCCTCTGCTTTAAAACTTCCACATGTCCTTGGGTGAGGACTAAATAAATAAAGTACATTGTGCAGGAGGTAGCTGATAGATGTTGCTCACATTGATGTTTCTCTCTCCCTCTCACCAAAAAAATCAATAAAAAATATATATTTTTTAAAAGTCGTAATTCCTGAAATCCAAAAATGGAATGGTAGTGGTCAGGGACTGGCAGGGGGATGGAGGTGGAGAATAGAAGTTACTTACTAATCAATAGGCATAAAATTTCAGTTAAACCAGATGAAAAATAATATAGATCTGTATAACTATAGACAACAATAACGTAGTGTATACTTAACATTGTTTTTTAAAAAATATATTTTGTTGATTTTTTTAGAGAGAGGAAGGGAGCGGGATAGAGAGTTAGAAACATCGATCAGCTGCCTCCTGCACACCTCCTACTGGAGATGTGCCCGCAACCAAAGTACATGCCCTTGACCAGACTCGAACCTGGGAACCTTCAGTCTGCAGGCCAATGCTCTATCCATTGAGCCAAACCAGTTAGGGCTTAACATTTTGTTGAGGATAGATCTCATGTTAAGTGTGTGTGTGGGGGGGGCGGGGGGAGGAGAGAGGCAAAGGACTGAGTCAGACAACCCAGAGAGTTCTGAATCTTAAGAAGAAAGCTTCAAAAGACTTAATATCATAATCAAGTCATATAAGGTAGAAATGAAGAGTGTTGACTGTATCTGGCTATAGTATGAGTTAAGATGACCTTACTAGGTCATTTCTGGAGTGATATGAGAAAGTCAGGTACTAGTGGGGTAAATATGGGAAGTGAGGCAATTGAAGCAGTTGAGTTCTGATAACCCTTTCTTTATTTGTTTAAAGTATTATATATGAATCCTTTTCCCATTGACCTCTCTCCGCTCATTCCTAACCCCCACCCCCCTCCGGCCCCCACTCTGTCCAGCACATGCCCTCACCACCCCCTACTGGCTGTCCATGGGTTATGCTTGCATACAAGACTTGATCTCTCACTGTCATACCGCCCCTCCACTGCCATCGCGCCCCCCGCCCCCCACCACATCCCCCCTGAGGTTGGGTGGTCTGTTCAATGCTTCTATGTCTCTGGATCTATTTTTATTTTTATTTTTATTTTTTTTAAATATATTTTATTGATTTTTTACAGAGAGGAAGGGAGAAGGATAGAGATAGAAACATCGATGAGAGAGAAACATCGATCAGCTGCCTCCTGCAAATCCACCACCGGGGATGTGCCCGCAACCCAGGTACATGCCCTTGACCGGAATCGAACCCGGGACCTCTCAGTCCGCAGGCTGACGCTCTATCCACTGAACCAAACCGGTTTCGGCTCTGGATCTATTTTTAGCTCATCAGTTTGTTGTTCATTATATTCCATATGAGATCATGTGATTTTATCTTTCTCCGACTGGCTTATTTCTCGACTCTTTTAAGCTTTGTTGAAACAATGAATTATCTTTGCTGTACTACTTTGTGGTATAATAAACTTTTTATGCATTCTTTAGGAAATATTTTGCAAGGATTAATAGTTTGCTTACTCCTAAAAATAGACCTAAGAATCCCTGGAAAACTGTTGAAAAGAACATACGGTTACCTAAAATTTTTAAAGGTAAGATAGAAAATAAAGAAAAAAGAAAAAAAGAAAAGATAGGTTTATTCAATGAACAGTATTATAAAACTTTCACAGTTGGCAAAACAAAATAAATTATGAGTTATTATATTGTTAAGGTGATGCTTATGTGATGCAGAGACTTGAGTATCTTTGGACAACAAGAAAATCACCAATAACTTGACAACTGACTGGATACATAAACCAAACCCATCACTTAGTTGGGAATTTAAATGATCAGGGCACATGTGGACTTGATCTCCAGTGGGGGGCCAGCAGGAGGCAGCCGATCAATGATACTCTCTCATCATTGATGTTTCTATCTCTCTTTCCTTCTCCCTTCCTCTCTGAAATCAATAAAATATATATATATTTTTAAAAAATGATAAAGGAGTCAAAAGCCTCACTCAGGAAAGAATTGCTGGTCTCTTTATAACAGGAAATGTTTGGGAAAAACAACATCTAACACAATATTGTGTTAGATAAATAACACTGTGATTTTTAAAAACTGCACTGAGTTGCTATACTTATTTGGAATTAATACCATTATCCATATTACTATTTTTCCAAGCAGTAAAAGAATATTACTTTCCTTTTATTGTTTTTACCTAATCTATATTGATAGACTACTGAGGGGTAACTGAAAAAAAAGCAACCAAAAAACAAAAAACTCAAGAAGCCAGTGCCAGTATTACATGTCAACTGTTTAGTTATAAAAAATTTGCGAGTAAATCCTTAAGAAAACATTATTTGAAGTAGAGCTGTGCTAAGATAATGCACACAAACCAACATGGTCTATTTAATAAAAATATTTAATGCTGCCAAAAAGTATAAAAATACAGTAGAAGTGGCAGTACAATACAAAGTAGTCTCTCCTAATTTATTTCTTTTACATCTTTCCACATTTCATACATTAGATTAAAAAACTTAACAAATCATCAAATTAGAGAGTTCTGCAAAGTCTTCTGCTGGTGGTGCTCTTCTTTCCCTGGATGTAAAGTTTACTTTGTAAACAGACAAATGTGAGGCAATCTACGGGTTTATCAAGCCTCACATTAGTTTCCGGAGTGGGCTTCAGGTCTTGCTTTGCACATCAATGGTTCAAAATTTATAGCTGCAGAATATTCTCAAGTCATGAATATTTAGGTGTCTGTCAATCTTGGCCTAAAACATAAAATAAGAAGTCATCTATTCAATTCATATTTACCAAACACAGAGATGTACATAGATACACACAAACATAAAAGGACTAACAATGAACTAAAAAGGCAACAAGAAACATTCCAACATATCACATTCAACCACACTTAAGTGCTTCACTGTATGTTGGTAAAATTGCTTAAGTGCTAGGTTTTCAAACAGAATTGGTGGTGTGAGGTAGGCTCATGTTAAAGCAAAATAACTCATATTGTTTTTCCAGGAATTACTATGAATTTTGTTGGTCATACTATATTACTCAAGAAATAACCTCCATGTGAGATACTGACAGACAGGTTTTAAAAAAATAGATCCACCACAGTTTAGCAAGACTATATGTATGTGCTAGACTTACCAACACTTTTCCATTCAATTCAAAAGTCTAATCCAATTTGGACCTCCACTGTATCATACTGCTAAAAATATTATGAATGTAATGTTTGAACATTAAAATCACGGCCTATTAGCAGCATGCTTTTTGTCCTGAAGATAACATTAATGAATATAGCAATATAGAACTGGTGACACAATTTAGTTACTATCAATACAAAAGAAAACACAGACATAAAGTAATTGATTTATTGTATTTTAATGCCAAAAAGATAAATGAGAGTTTAAACAAACAATAGACAGATGAAATAGCTATTTTTAGGGCAGTTGAGTTTTTTATGTTATTTCACAATGTTTGCAAATAGCCAAACTTTTTAGATAAATGGTATTTTCATTCTTCCCCCAACTTCCCTCACTAAAACAAAAAAATAACCCAAATCTAAGTACTTGTCATTATTGTATCCCCACATATATAAACAGGATATATAAACCATACCCACATATATTTTTCAAAAACATTTAGTCAAAAACCCCAAAATACCACGACTGGAGTTTCTCCTGACTACTGGCTCCTTCTACCGAAGGAAAGAACAATAGCACCAAGCACTCTGGTGTTCTCAGTACCCGTTTTCTCAGATTTTCTAGCACCGAGAGAGAAATGTCAAGTCATCAAGAAAACAGTCTCCTTAGACACCTGTGGGTCACAAAAACTACTATGGCTGCTTAATGTGCTGCTACAAAACACATCTTTATTCCCCAGCATTCACAAAATTGTTCAGTGAAACAAAGGAACTTAACCCAGCCAAAGTGCATGAAATAGTGGTTTAAACTGAACATTTGGATGTTACAGTATTTCTCTGGTCTATTAGTAGTTTAAACTGTTTCATAAGATTTTTGATTTGGGTGAATTTTTTTCACTTAAGAAATAGAGGGTTACTTTAAATTTTAACAAGTAAAAGTAGTTGCCTAATATTTTTCAATCTAAATATTTGGTTTAAATATTGCATAAAAACAGAGTCAGTGTGACATAATGGAAAAAGTATGAGATCTGTAGTTAATGGAATTCTAAAGAGTAGAGTTTGAATCCCAGCTCTGGTATGTACCAGCTGAGCAATCTTGAACAAGGTACTTATCTTTCGACTCAGTTTTATTACCTCAAAATAGGGGAAATGTGATGTATCTAGAAGAGGTACTATGGGGGTTAAATTTAGGTTATATATTTAAACTGATCCGCAGAACTGTAGCTATTCAACATACAATACTGTCTTCCCCAACAGGGTATTAAAGACACAATTACCAAAGAAAATTACCATTTACAACAACTAAAAGAAACAGTGTTTTTAAAAATTCACTTTTTTTTCTTTTTAAGTATTATTATGGGGGACAAGAAAATAAGATGAAATCATTGGGAATGTTAACGACTTTAAAAGTCTATTTCCAAGACTGAAAAGACAAATGGGCTTCATATTAGGGGGGAGGGGGGGGAGATTCACCCAAATCATTTTTTGCTGTTTTATTTAACAAGATGAAAGTGAAATCAGTTCAAATAAATCAAGTGGAATTAGTCCTGCTTGGTGCTTCCTTTGGAGCAGTAGCCCTCAGATACTGACCCCCCGTGCTAATGCTGGAATGGAATGAGGACTGGGCTCACACACAGAGCAAAAGGTTCCCAAGCTGGCTCCACACCTGAAGTAACAGAAAATCAAAACTGCACCCAAAATAGGTTTTGCCACTGGAATAAGAAAAACTCCTCTAAGATAAGCAAAGCATTGCCTTATAAACAAAATGAACTTACCCAGTTTCCCTCTCTTGAATTCCCAAACTCAAAACAACTTTTTTATAGCAGACATTTGAAATATCAACACTATTATGTGTCTAAAATAGCTATGCCAAATTAGAGCACCAAATGGTCTCTTTAAAGAAAAAAATTCCTAAGCAAGTCTCCTTATAGCTCCCCAAACATACTATGCAATGGAAAAACCAGACAATATTAAAATCGACTCTGTAATATCCTCACTAAATCCCATAATTCTCATATTCCGCTCAAAATTATAAAACCAAAATAGAGTTCAAAAGATTGAACTTTTCCCTCTCCTCGTGGATTGCACAGAGGTGTCAGAGCACTTTAACATGTTTTCATGGTCAGCTGTTCAGACTGTTACTGATCAGGACAAAGCCTCCCAAACCAAGCAGTGGCTTGTTGTCTGAACTGCCGCTTACACTTGGCCGAGCTCTGTGATGGAGTGAATGCATACGACTTGAGAAAAGGATCAGCACTGACTGTGAGGAAAAATTCTCCCCAAAGTTTCTAGAATCCAGTGGCCAAATGAGGTAACCCTTTCTCTGAAGAGTATCGAGAGAAAACACTCCTGCTTAGAGCAATCTGAATGTGATGAATGTCCCTACTGTTGAGGGGAAAATGAGACAGCAAACCCGTAACATTTCCCTAGGAGTTTTTTCTTTAGCACACGACCTAACCAAGTGGGTAGCATAAAATTTCCAAATCTTAAAAGCTTAAATTCCCAAATCTGGATGAACAATGAAATGGCTCCATTATGGCCAGGTACATGGATATAGCCGATAAGTACATAATTTCTGGAGTGAGGATTCTTGAGTAGAATAAGCATTGTGGAGCTTCCACAATCTGAGTTTCTTCCCACCAAGGCATGTTATCACTCATATTCAGTGGAACAAGAGATGGCTAGAATTTCTAACACATCCATTGCTGTAAGGGCTGCTGGTATTGCTGTCCCATAAACAATAAAGGTAGGTATAAGGAAAAATGGAATCAGATTCAAACCAATTAACTAAGGGAAAAGATTAAAAAAAAAACACACAGGTCAATTCCAGAATAAATTATTCAAAGAATGACCAAGACCTGTGGGGAGAACTTCATTTTATTATGTGGGAAAAACAGTATGTCTCTATTTTTCAAAATTTCATTTCATAAGGTATTGTGCTCCTACCATCTAAATAAGTCAAAGCCAAAAAAGGGTGTCTTAAAGTAAGAGACATAATTAACTGCTAATGTAGAAATGAGAACACAGGAGCACAGTGCAGACATTTCTGCTCTGCACTTAGTCCCAGACTAGGATCGATGCACCAAGTCCCAACGTCGGCCACCCTCCACCTCTCCACCCCCTGCTAGTGTGCAGCAGACAAAGAGATCCACACTCCCTGCCCCCTGACAAACCCATGTGGACCCATTGGGAGAAAAATAAGTTAATGTTGGCAGGCATAACTCCGAGACTCTTGCCTGAACACAGATATACATAATAAGCATTAGGCTTATAATAGACTACATAAAAAATCTCTATAGGATTTATTTCTGAAAGTAAAAATCTAGGACAACTAGATTTAAAATATAATATAATAGCCAGGCAGGCATTTTGGAAATGTAGGTACTCATTAAAATAAGAGTATATAATGGTCAATATAAATATTTCTAATGTAATCAGGTTCTGGCCTGCATTTCTATAGAATCTAGTCAGAGATATTTTTCAAAGAGGGAAATATGATTTGTACAAGGTTATGTCTTTCTTGGAGAGATATCTAATTCTAAAATAAACTATACACATGAGACTTTTCAAAGATAGCGTAAAAGAATATAGAAATGTCAAGTCTCAGGTTGATTATGACTTAATAATAACACCACCTACCTCAAAAGCTTGTTGTGAGGATTAAATAGGATAATATAACTTATGAAAAGTGCTTAGCACAGTGCTTGGCACACAGTAAACGATCAATAAATGGTAGCAACCATCACTTTGAATTGATGCTGAAAACAAAGAAGGAATTGATATTAAAACTGAAGGACTGCTCGATGTCATAAACTACTTTATCAACCAGTATGTACCTTTTGATTCACACCATCAATTCTAGTTTATATAAAAATATTTATAAAACTAATGTAAGCGTTACAACTCCTTCCTCTGACATACCTGTTAAGCAGAGCTACTTTTTTTGTAATCAACAAGATTTTCACTTCCTTTCTCTTTTTATGTTCATTCCTTGATAGAAATATTAACTCACAGTGAAATGGACCAAAAAGATAGAAAATCACAGAGAAAATATAGAAAATATTCTTTAAACATGAGAAATGGTCTTTATATTGTTCTGAAGTTCTCTATTACATTTTTAAGCCTCTTAAGAATTCAGGAAAAGGGTATTATTTTAATTTTACATATGGTTAAATTATATATGGAGAATTCTATTTTTACATATATGTGCAAGCATAGATAAAAATCAATATAAGATAGCATAAAATACTTGGTGAAACCTGGATATACACAGTTGGTGTAGCCAGAGAAGATGGCATTAAATCAAAGGCTCCTGTCAGTTTATTAGTAGGAGTAAATATAAACAAAAATGAACTAGATGTTATTGTAAATGTTCTTTTCTTAATGTAAATAACAAAGCCTCTGACTTTAAAAATATCCTTTTTTCTTCCTTAACCTATTCAAAATATTACTACTTCACTAAAATCAAACTATACAACTGACTCTGAAAATCTGTTATAATTAGAAAATATTATGAAGACCTAAGCATACACAAATTGTGTAAATATGTAGACCCCGTCATGGATTAGTAACTTTTTCCTCTGGCTGTTACCTGAGAAGGCAGGAGCCATGTTTGTGTCCTTCTCTCTGATTAGTACCCCTCATTTAATAAAGGGTCAGGATGATGACTATAGGCACCACAGCATGTTGCCATATATTATCAATTAGTACATGGCACCTATTATTATTGTTGGTAAAAACTTAACACACTATCCTCAAGGACCTGCTTGGGGGAGGTAAGATAACTAACATTGCAGAAGTTCATCAACAAATGTTTACTACACTGACTATAATTTTAAAAATGTTACAACAAACACCACCCAGAAGGACAGAAAGCAGACAAAAAGCAAAGCTGCGATACTGAATCCAATGAAGCTCATTCTCCTGCAGTGGGGCAGTGTGCATATGATCAGCATTTGCTTTCCATAATAAGTCTTTACCTTTTTGTTTAAAGCAAGGCTATCTTCAACTGGAAATTTAATATGGTCTAGCCATATCTGAGTTGCAGAATAATATATTGTATTTTAACAAAGCAAGACAAGTTGGAAAGAAAGATTTTAAACAATAATGAACTAAAACATAAAGGTCTTGGTGCTTGAACACAGATTTAATGCAGACAGACATAAGAAAATGTCCCTCTTACCTCCTTTCCATTTAAAGGTTACAGGACACAGTAATACTGAATTAGGACACAGGCAGAAGTTTATTTATTTAATATGTAGTACCACCTACATCCTCTTTCATACTTGCAGCACAATTAACACATTCAAGAAGGCTACCAAATCAACTCAAAACATCTGTCAATGGTTTTCAAACTGTTTTTTTAAATTATAACTAATCCCTTAAAATAATTAAACTTCATGCAATAATCTTACGTAGTATATAGAAGAAATAAAGGAGAGAGATGGTCCGGTTGAAAGTAAAGGTTGATACCTTGGAGTCTTTCCTACCACTTCTTGTTGACCCCTTAGAAATCTAATGAGCACAGTTTGAAAACCAGCAAAATAATGGTATTTCATTATTTCAGCAATTAAATGTATAACAACTATTAAAAGTTTAAGTTAAATAAGTTGAACACTTAATGGAATGTAGGGTTTGAAGAAAACTGCCATTCCAGCAGCAGTTAAATTCATTAAACAATACACTTTAAAAAATACCCATTAAGAAGTTAAAGGGACAATGTAAAGTTTGTAAATCATCATACTATTTATTTAAGTAGAAAGAACTTAAAAATATTTATTTCAAAATTCAGTCTAGTATACTGAAATCATGGCAGTAAAATGCTGCTCCTTATTTTTATTTTCTAAATCATGATTTACCCCAATTATAAATTAGGGTAGTTACATTGAAATCTTCATAAAAAATAAGAGGTATAAGTAATGGGCTTTACAGAAACCAACTTCTTTACAAAGTCTTGATCAACTGTATTACCTGACTATTCAGTAAGGAGAATTTCCTTTTAAATATATTTTTAGGGAAAAATTTTGTTTCTTTGATTTTCTTTTTAAAATTGGAAAAACCATAAAACATAAAAGAAATGCACAGATATGGTAAAAAAAAAATGCTTACTAAGAGTTCTAACTGCTCAAATTTCTCCTTATGAAAATATCCAGTACAATTGAACCACATACAATTTTTTATTATAACAAATTTTTCAAATTTAGCTTTCTAAAAAAGTACATTTAACTACAAAAGTAAGATTAAATACTTATAAAATATATTTACCTTGACATGGTTAAGAATATAAATTATTGATGTTCATGTCAATAGTACATTATACATTACACACATTATTTAAAGGTCATTTTCTTTTCAGTAATATAATGTAGATAAAACCACGATATTTATTGCTTGTATCAAGTGCAGGTTAAAATCCAGGTAGCATCAAAAACAAATCCTTGTGATAAAGGATCTTCCTCAATTTGGTCAGGTGAAATATTACGTTTAACATGTATGAATACAGTTGCAAAATGTACCAGTTTTTAACAGGCATTAGAGTCTTTATTTTAGATCACCGTTTACAACTTGGGGATAGTGCCCTGAGATGTTGGGCTGAGGACTGAATATATTATTTATCTGGTTGGTGTCTATTCTACTGCTCCATTTTGGGGGATATGAGAAGTTCGCTAACAGAAAATCCTTGTGATTAATGCAACACTGTCAGCTATTAGTGCAGAAGCTTGCTGGGCACAATTGTATTATTTATAGGACACTCTGCTGAAAAAACAGTGTCCAGCCAACAAAAGCGCCAACCAAAATGACTGACACAAACCCCATCTTAGTGAAAATAGGTTGCCAATATAACCACCTTTTTCTTTTTCGTTCAGTCTCATTTAGCCTCTGTTTCATCTGCTGCACCTTCTGAGCCGTGTTAGCTTTTCTGTCTTCTCGAATTCGTTTCCGTAGAACACTACGAATAAATATGAACAAATTATAAGAAGTGCTTGCAGGACTTAATTACTCTCATACAGAGGACTTAACCTCAAATATCCACATTTCCCACACACACACATTTTTCAACTCAAACATTGTCATTTTTTTTAAAAAGGAAAAGATTTGGCTCAAATAAACTCTTACGAAAATTCTCAAAAACATAAACAACTAAAAGGGATAAAAAGCCTTAGTACTCTAAATGGTCCAAAGATGTGTTCTGATGATATATAAAATATTAACAAATACTTTTAGTAGGACCTGATAATAAGCATTGAGCTTTCTTTCTTGAACTGGTGACTGTCAGTTTTCTTTCTTTCTTATTTTTTTTCTTTATTGATCAAGGTATTACATATGTGTCCTTATCCTCCCTTGCCCCTTCCCCCCAACTCATACCCTCACCCCCCTGGTGTCTTGTCCATTGGTTAGGCTTATATGCATACATACAAGTCCTTTGATCTCTTTTCTTTCTTTCTTTGCTAACCAGCCAGAAGTGGAAAGATAAGCGGGTCCCCTATCATCTGATCCCCTTTTGTGTTTATACTTGATTTTTGACAAAGCCCTTGATAAAAGCCATCAACTTATTACTCTGTCCATACAGATCTCTAGCTTTCATTTGCTTAATACAGAATTTATGTTCCAATGGAAGCTCTTTGATTTCCAAGATAATGACCCTAGGACTACATAAAGAACAGCAAAGGTAACATGTAAGTTACAATTGCCTATATTACTGCAAAAAACTAACCAGTCTTCCTGCCTCCAAATTAAACATCGCCACAGTAATTTTCCTAAAGCATGGCTTTGATCATGTAGCTTGATGAAAAATCTTGAATGCCTTTTCAGTGTCTACTATGACATTAAGAGCCAACCTTTCCCTAACCAAAATGTCTAACCTGAATCTAATAATGAAAAACAATCAGAAGAATCCAGATTGAGGAGCATTCTAAAAGGAACTGGTCTTGCCCTAGCTGATTTGGGTTAGTGGATAGAGCGTCGGCCTACGGACTGAGGGGTCTCGGGTTCGATTCCGGTCAAGGGCACATGCCCGGGTTGTGGGCTCGTTCCCCAGTCGGGGGCGTGTGGGAGGCAGCCGATGGGTGGTTCTCTCTGATCATTGATGTTTCTATCTCTCCCTCCCTCTCTGAAATAAATAAAAATATATTTTAAAAAAGGAACTGGTCTAGAAGCTGCAAAAACACCAAAGTCAAGCAAGAAAAAAAAAAGTGGCGAACAGATTAAAGGAAACTAAAGAATCACATTAACTGGCTAGGCCAGTGTGGTTCAGTGGATGAAAATCCACTGAGAGGTCACCATTCCATTCCCTGTCAGGACACATGCCCAGTTTGCAGTCTTGATCTCCAGTAGGGGGTGTGCAGGAGGCAGCCAATCAATGATTCTCTTCTCATCATTGATGTTTCTACCTTTCTCCCTCTCCCTTCCTCTCTCTGAAATCAATAAAAAGATATTTAAAAAAAAAAGAATCATGTTAACCAAATAAAATGCATGGCCCTCAATTATATCTTGAATTAAAAAAAGAAAATAGCTATAGAGATTGGGACCATGAAAATGTTCCAAAATTTAGATTATGGTGATGACTATACAACTGTAAATATACTAAATCTATAGAAATGTACACTTTAAATGAATAAACTTAATGGTATGTAGATTATATCTAAGTTATGATGTGGATTTTTTTACAACTATATTAGATTTAAAAAAGTAATTTATTACTATATTAGATTTTTAAAAAACTTTATTCTTTTTCCAATAATAGAATTAAGCTTTAGCATTCAATTAAATATTTTATAATTTTATAAAAGCCAGATTACCAATTACATTATAACTATAGTACAAACACTACATAATTGTACAAATGGCAGGTATTCATACCATTTATTTTCTCTACCATGCTATATATTTTAGCATCCAATTATATATATTAACTTTTATGCTCAATTCGTATTTTGTTCAACATTTCCAACAGGTATCTGTCTGTAAGTATTGGCTTCTTATTAGAATGGGAAGTTCCTTGAGATCAGTGATGTAATCATATACTATTTAAATACCCTCAGGTAATAAATAAGTGGTTATATTAGTTCAATAAACAAAGGGCCTACATTAGTTCACATCTACTGACCTTTCTAAAAAACAGTCTCATCTTTTTATTCTTACCTCTCACTGTTCTCCTCCACAGTATCTTGCATTTTAGAGGACAGTCCTGTGTATCTGTCGCCTGTCAGTTTTTCTTCTTCTAGCCCTATCCTGTTCCCATTGTATTTTTCATTCATTAGTTTGGTGGGGGAATGATCAAAAACAGGACATAAATCTTCTTTAGAAAGTTCTTTCCACCGTTTCTAGATAAGGAAGAGAAAAAAAACAAATGCAAACTCAAATTTTGGCTTTTCTTAATATTAAAAGAACTTAAGAATTGAAATTCTATAGTCAATTTAAGAAAACCCTATAATGCTCATAAATAGAAAAGGACCTCATTAAATTATTACTCATGGTGAGAAGATTTTAGCCAATGCCAGATTTTGTAAGACTCCTAATCCACAGATATGTAACCCTAGAAGCAGTGACCAAGATGGCATTTGAATGTGATCTAGTATCTCCTTATTCCTTGCCACTATCTAACCTAATGAAGAACCGATGGTGAGATCTCCAAAGAGGTCCCCATGATGCCAAAGGACTTTAATATGGTTGACCATACCAGGCATTCTAGCAGCCCCAGGTACCCAGCCCACACCAGGTTAGGGAAAACTCCTCTAGTATGCATAAACTTCAGAGTGGGCAGGATTTAGACCACAATGAAGAAAAATTACATTTTTATGACCTACCCACAAAGCCTGTTGTGATTAATAAGATGACAGGTGAAAGGGCCTAGCATCATATCTGGCAAGTATTAGTCTACTTTGCCCTTACTGCCACCCTCCCTAGAGAGAGAGGACAAGGAAGAAGAGGTGCAGAGTATTTCTAGGCCTCTGGAAGATAAAGGCAGTGACAAAATACAGGCCAAAAAGGGAGAAGGTAAGTAGAACCTCAACACAGGGGATGATGGTCTCTGAAGTCTTTCAAGGGCTAATAAGACAACCATCCATCTCCTGCCAATAACCAGAGTAGTAGAGGAGGCAGAAGGGAGAGGAATGGCTTTGATTATTTATAACTTCAACATTGGCACAAAATGACTTGGTGTAGACGGGGTGGCCCCCTTTGAAGATCCTATCATGGAAAGATGGCGTCTTAAGTCTACTGAATAAGGAACTATATAGCTATTGTTGCAGGATTTGAACAGAAATTAACAATGCAACCTATACTTTTATAGAACTTATGGAATGCGCACTCCCTGGAGTTACTTTGATACAAAACAGCATTGTTAAAAACAATCCTTGTATATTTACATTTTTTAAAATCCTGGAAAATTCATTAATAAACGAGTTTCATTATCATACAACAGAGGAATTAAAAAGAAAAGGGCATTTTACCACACTCCAACTTTTCTGTGTCTATTTTATTAAGCTGTATATTAATGCATCTTTTTGTTTTATAGTAGTAGATTCACAAAAGACTTAGAGAATGTAAAATTCTATAATTTGTTGTATTTGGAAGACAGTGAGTAATACAGTTTGGTACAATTTGGTGAGAAGATGAGAACACATTGAGCTGAATCCTGTGAGACGAGGCCAGAAAGAAAGCAGATCTCAAGGACAGAGGTCTCTGAAATTCATTTGAGAAACAACAGGGTGAAACTAAACTCTCCTGAGCAAGGACCTAAGAGGACTTAAACCATATCCAGAAAGAATATTTTGCCAATTGTGAAAACTACCATAATGGAACATAAGAGTAAGATGTTTTCTCTTTAGATGACTATATATCATTTTTCTTTCTTCCCTTACTTCAAATTTTTGTTACTAAGTCCAAATAGATTTTTTATATTGAAGAAGATGCAAGTCAGGAAACAAAAGATACTTACTAAGCACTTACTGTCCTAATGCTTCAAATACACTAGTTTTTAATCCTAACAGGAATCTTAGGAGGTAGGTACTACTACTGTTCTTATTACAACCTTTTTATAGATGAGATGCGTTGAGAGAGTTTAAGTAACTTGTCCAATGCTATGCGGCTAATGAATAGTAGGGTCAGAATCTTAAGCCAGGTACTCTAGATTAACTATCATATAAACCCTCATGATTACCTGTAAAAAGCACAGCAACTTCAAACACCAGATAGTTTAAGAAAGTACCCAGTAAAAAATATTAAATTGTCTCCAGAATTTATGTTGGTCAATATCTGAAGTTTCTGTCCTCTACTAAGACCTAGTTATAGCAACTTGGCCTTATTCTAGACAAAACTCAACAATGTCAAAAAATGAGATGCCAAAAATCAAGTCTTATTGGGCCACAACCCGGAATATGCAACAAATTCAGAATCTGTCAACAAGAAAAGCCCTCATCAAAGGGTGTGTGTGTGTGTGTGTGTGTGTGTGTGTGTGTGTGTGTGTGTGAGAGAGAGAGAGAGAGAGAGAGAGAGACAGAGAGAGAGAGAATATGCTGGTGATTAAAATAAAACACAATAATGTCATTTTGCCATGCCTCTGAGCAGCAAACTCACTCAACTAAAAGGCACTCCAAAATCAACTGCCTCAAATTCTCAATAAAATATCTATTATATAAACTAAGTATTCTATAATCTCAGATCAAGTTTTTAATGAGGAAAAGTACCTAAATTTTCTGGGTTATTTTTTTTTCTAGTTTATTTTAATGATTAAATGCTTAAACCCTCCTTACATGAAAATTTTATTTTCTTTAATGAAATGCTGTTCCCAGTAGGGCTTTTGAGTAACAGGCAGGATTTCACATGAGGCTGAGGTAGGTATATTTGAGGAAGTGAGCTTAAATTTTTACAATTGTAAGTTGGCCAGCTGGATTTGCCACATGAATGTAAATATGCCTTTTGGAAGGGAGACTATAAGTTGCTTAAAAGGAGTGCAGTTATATGATGCTAATCATATTACACAGGTACTATTTTTTCCCTGAAAAAGCTTACCTGTATATTTGAATCTCCCTTTATAAATTTTGCTCCTTCTATTATAGTCATATATGAAAATCTGAGTTGATCTGGCGTCTGAATAAGTCCCATTCGATATTTTCTCATATTCAGTAACAGTTGTTTAATGTTAATATCATCTCCTTTCTCCATCTGCAAGAAAGGTAGAAAGTAAATTAGTCAAGCCTTTTGTTGTTAAGAGTCCAGGAAAGAGAAGAAATACAGGATAATTGCTAAGAATTTTGGCATGTCCTATGTTCTTCCGAAGAAACAAGGATAAGTTATCATCAAAGTTGCATGTCTGTACAAAACCACCTTCCCCAGACACCTGTTCTCTCCCCACCTCAACTGTTTAAGTAGTAGATGGAGGACTTTTGGTCCTTTAGCTGATTCACAATTGATTCCAAACCAATCACAGTCAACTCATTTAACTTGCCCAGGTTTGGTCTAAGGAAGGATTTATGATCAGTTCTGGCTTAATGTAAAGAAAGTTTCAATGAGATTATTAGTGCTCTTTTTTTTTTTTTTAAAGAAGATTGTGGCAGGGGTAAAGCTTTTTGCCCACTCCCCTTCCGCCTTCATGTCTGTGCACAGCAGCCATCTGGAGATGGTGAAGAAGGAAAACAGGAAGAGCCCAGATCCACAATGACACTGATGGGCCACTGCATCAGCCCTGGACTACTGATAGGGTATTATAACCACCATACCTCCCCACAGCTAAAAAAGAAAAAAGTTGTTGAAATTATGTTTGGCAGGGAACAGGCACAAACACAATTCAGTTTTAAAAGTCACCATTAATAGAATAGACACTGGAGTTTTACACATGTCAAAGTTCACTTTGATACATCAATCCAATTTTTGAATGAAATATACTATATATATGCATCAATAGATGTATTAAGGTGCAACTGTTCTTATATCTTGTAAGTGCAGCTGCAATAGTGTACATGAGATTTTTAGTTTTGCTTTTTTGTAAAGGCAGAAGTTTAAATTTGAAAAACGCAGTTCTAGGATACTGACATTAGAGCTTATTTCTGCTAATGGAAACAATACAAAAGTAAACATGCCTAAAATTAGATCATAAGAGGCACTTACCAGAACAAGACACGTATCTACTAGAGAAAAGGTGCCTGACCGCCCAATGCCTGCACTGCAGTGGATCACTGCAGGCCCATGCTCAGGACTCAAGGAACCTGATTCTCTCACTTTACATAAGAAATTGAGAAATGAAGCTGGTGATTCAGGGACTCCAAAATCTGGCCAGGTAGTATAATGAAAGTGAGATATTGTTCTGGTTTCACCACTCTGAAAGGTAAAAATCAAAGGGAAAAGTTAGTTCTTTTTTCTTTTAAAAAATTACTTCAGAAAGGTTGTGTTTTGTGTAATGCTTTTAATCCTATGGACTTTTGGTACCTGATTTTTCCTTTGGTTTTTGATAATAATTTACACAAGTTTGGGAAAATTTTCTTTAGAATATTTTAATAATAGCTAGCACATTATTTTACAGGTATATTCTAAGTATTTTATGTATTGAGCATACAACAATCCTTTTAAAAACCATTTTATAGATGAGAAAACAGAGCTGAAAGGTTGAGTGATTTCTTCAACATCACACATTTAGAAATTGGCAGAGCCAGAATTTAAAGATGCAATCTGGTGCAGCATTTGAGTTCTTAACCACTAACCTGTACCATATATGTTGTGTATTATTTTCTTTAATTCATACATGATGATGAGTGGATTCTTTTTTCCCCCTATTTTTAAAAATGTCTACTAGTATAATTTTATATGTTTTAATGGTTTCCCTTTTAGGAATTCCAATTTTTTTTAGATATAATCTTTTTCCATTCTATGAGTTATCTTTTAGATTCTGCTACAAAGGCACAGAGGAACAACTTAAGAATTTTTTTAAAAACCTCTACATTTTTTTAATAGAAATTGCTCTCTTAATTGCTGCTTTTCCCTATGGTAATAATCTCCAGTCCTAAAACTGTTTATATGCCTTTGCTGATATGCTAAAATGGTTTACCAACATGCTTAATGTTTCCTGTCTCTTAATGCCTGCCTGGCATTCACTATCACTTCCTGGATATTCCTGATGATCTTATATTTCTGAATAACTCATTATGAAAATGTTCCTTAGCTTTTGCCAATTGCCTTTTGCCCCAAGAAGCACTTATGTGCCTTGTACTTTTCATTTCTGTAAACGAAGCAATAATCCTCTAACATGTCTTTGCACAATTTTTCAGTTTTATTATGTTTTTGGTAGAAGCCATAGAAGCAACATAAAAAATCATGATATTTTTAATGGTTAACAGCTAAACATTATTATTATTATAATAGCATCCTGCTTTCAATATAAATTTTCAAAACTAAAGTCAGTTTTCATTAAAAAAGTAATAAAATTTCCCCTTTTTCAGTAGAAATTAAGAGTCCTAAGTCCCAGACTAAGTTATATCAGTTAGGTATAGAACTGATAAAACAGTGTAGAAATTTAAAAATATATTTAAAAAAGGCTCAGTATATAGTGTTAGTGACTAATTTTATATCCAGCTTTCATAATTCCAAATATATCATGATCCTGCACAGATTAATATACTAAGGTACTAGAAGATCTCCCTATTACTAATAAAAATGATCATTGTGGTTACTATACTTCAAAACATTTCCAAAGTATGGAACGAGAAGGAAGCCAGGCTGTAAAAGATACATACTGTAGGATTCCACGCATATGATAGTCTGGAAAAGGCAAAATTATAGCAATAGAAGCAGCCCAGTGGATTCAAGGAGCTGGGAGTGGGGGGTGGGGGGTAGGGCTGACTGTACACAGGCATGATAAAATTTGGAGAGGGATGTTGATGGTACACAACTAAATGCATTGTCAAAACTCAGAAATGTATACTAAAAAGATAGTATCTTACTGTATATGAAAGAGGGAATTAAATTTACTGTATCAAAGAAAGGTACTTAAAACATTCAAATTAAGAAGGTTTTTACAAAGTCATAAATGGACAGGTAACAACCTGACAACCACCTGCTGTGGTCATCAGCCACCATACAGTGCTAACCATGCACAACAGAGCCAGACTTGGTCCATGTGAGCATAAACCAGGTATGGTATGAACCTGTTGGATACCCCAGGTCTTGGGGAGGTAGCCCCAGGACCCTGCTTGCATATAAGCTGTGCTCCTTAGAGTGTGGCCCAGTGTTCCTATGTGGTTATATGTTCAGTTATTGCATCATCTCCTGGCTCAATACCTATGGTTACCTCACAATCCTAAGTGACTGCTTGCTTTTTCTTTGCTTGTATGATTTTGGCTCAAGACTAGTGGTCCCTTGTGTGTGTGTGTTTTTCCAAATTCAGGTCATGCTGTCTGAGATACTCAAAGCCAGTTCCCAGAAATGCTCGCAACTATTTGTATAATACAGTCTTCTCCACTAATAGATTTTTGAAAAATTGGTCTTTTTCTTCTCTACCAAACTATACTAAAAAATTTCTTTAATTTAATCCTACTGAAAAAAAAAGATTAAAAAAACACAACTCACAAAACCATGTAAGTCCCAAAAGACCACATAAAGCAATGAGACTTATGCTTACTCTGTGGTATAAAAAAAAAATGTTTATATGCATAATTGGACCCCCTTTCCCTCTTTTTCATGTGTGTGTGGGGGAAAGGTTTGCCAAAGGATAGAGCTAAACAAAATGAATCTTTATTCCAAACAAGCTCTACATTTCAACTTTAGAATATGTGACAAATCCTTATTTCAAAACTGTGGAAGCACTCTCTCCTTCTCCTAAGTCACCACATCACATCCGTTTTTCTTCAGTGATGCCCAGTCCATCTCTCCCACCCCTTTCCCACTTTTGTACCTCACACCCACATATACCTGGTTTGCATCCACCACTGCATAGCTATCCGCATCTCTAGCTGCTCTGTACATGCCTGCTAAATTTTCTCTGTAAAATGTTGCATTATGTGTACTAACTCTACATAAAAATGTCAGTGGGTCACTATTCTTTTTAAGGCAAAAATCTCATTTACATTTTTTGAAGGAGAATTCTAAATTTAAAGTCTTTGAATAAGGATCTCAAACTCATTAAGGGGGGGCAAAAGTAGGCTTACAGTTATTTCTATGAAAAATACAATAATTAATAAATAACATAAAAGTAAACTCTGTATTTTGCATAGTCACAACTGTAAACCTATGTCTGCCCCACCCTGTATATGGAGACCAGAAAGACAATCTAGAGTTGAGTAGGTCTGAGACAATGAGGAGCTGACAGGCTTAAGGCAATGATAATTTAAGAGCATGCCATCTAAAGTCATTCAAGTTAATTATTATTTTTTATCATCAATATACATAATATTACATATTTTCTAATTAGTATAAATCTATACAGCTCTATGGTTCCAAGCCTAATAATTTTTATACTTTAAGCATATATAGGAGGTACCAAGATTATGATTCTAAAAGGCTTTCCTAATCCCCAATTTTGTCGACTATAAATGGGGTTAACGAGAGTACTTACCTTAGAAGGCTATTGTGAGGAATAATTGAAACGACTAATGCAAAGTGCCTAACATATGCTTGATAAATGCTTAACATAAACTATTTCTGAAACTATTATACTCATTAATTACCTTTATTGTAGCCCCTAATAAGCTCTAATCAATTGTAAACTCTCCACATTTTCAATCTCGTCACTTATTATTTCCTCTGCACTCAAAGAATATTGCAGTTTGTTAACCCTAGCTCCTAAATACTAGACTTCTCAAATCTGTACCCTCATTGTCACTGCCTTACTTTAGTCTCTCATTATTTTTGCCAGGAGATTAATATTGTCCATGTTAAATATTTAGTTACTTTGATTTAGTTTGAAAGATTACTAGAACTCACCAGATCCAAAGGGGAGGAGAGTGACATGAATAGTTAGGGTATGAGGTTTTCATTCTAAGCAAAGAAAAAAGCAATACTCAGGGGCATGGGCCCCAACGAAAAGCCTACTTGGAAGTGTAAGTCTTAGCAAGAACAAATCCGGAGTGCCTGAGGAGATTAGACCAGGAGGCAAGGACCGGACTGGCTGGGTCATAGGCTTCTGCATCGCCCATGGAGGATTTTAGAGCATGGTGACAGGATCATGCCTGCGTTTGAGAATAACCACTCAGGGGTAGTATGGTGAAAAATGTACTCAGTGCAATGCCAAAAGGAAGTTCAAAGGGAACAGGTAAGGACCGTGCCCATGAGGAGTGGAAAACCTTGTTATATGGAGTCAAAATACACAATACACATATAAAAATAGTGAACAAGCCAGTACAATGGTAAAACTTAAATTATGGAGAGAAGCCTGTAGCTGTTAGAAATAAATACATCACAGATATGAGATCTAAGAAAGAAATGGGACACAAGTGATAGCGCTTGAAGGCTACAAATAGGCAGAGAAGAGAGGACATTCCAGGTGGGATAACCCTTTATGCTGTTTTAACTCAAATCCCAGCTAAACTTCATAATACTTAGACACTCATCTGTTTTGGGCAAATCTACAGGAACAGAGAAACAGAAGGCCAGCTGTTGGCATTACAACAGTATTCCTGAAACTTGGTAAACATATAGCTGGCCAACAGTATTATGGAAAATAGTGAAAGGCAACTAAAAAAACACCTAAAAAACAAGTAAGTACTCTTGATGACCTTGTATTTTAAAAGCCCCTCAAAAAATATCTTCACAGCTTAAGCCACAGGGCCACTTTAAAAGCAGAGATTGAATCTCTTCATTCGGGGCCAAAGTTCAGATTCTTAGCTATAATCAAGACACTGGAGAAAACTGCTGGTATGTAGCTTTACTGCTCCATTAAGACAAGAGCTCTGTAAAAGAGCAGGGCCTGCACAGGCTGCTTTTGGCCCTGGATCTGTTAATAGATACAAGCCACACTCCTTTAGAAGCCAACTGGTTCTCTGAAGCTCAGGGATTATCAAGGAAGATCTGTAAGGGGAACTGGCGTGGGGGGTGGGGCAGGACAAAGGTGGGCTAGAGGGGGTCAATGTGGGGGGAAAGGGGACATATGTAATACTTTCAACAATAAAGCTTAAAAAGAAAAAAAAAGATCTGCAGGTGAGGTTGGCTATCCTCCCCTACTTCAGTGATGGCAAACCTTTTGAGCTCGGTGTGTCAGCATTTTGAAAAACGCTAACTTAACTCTGGTGCCGTGTCACATAGAAATTTTTTGATATTTGCAACCATAGTAAAACAAAGACTTATATTTTTGATATTTATTTTATATATTTAAACGCCATTTAACAAAGAAAAATCAACCAAAAAAATGAGTTCGCGTGTCACCTCTGACACACGTGTCATAGATTCGCCATCACTGCCCTACTTCATCCCTCCCTCATTATTTCTTTCTCCCTCAACCTGTTTTCAATTACCACTACTCCACAGTCCTTTGCAATTCATTAGTATTTCAAAGGAAAAAGGTATGGGCAACTATTAATAACTATGGATCCTGCACTGAGTCTTCGACATTATTATGGTATTAACTCACTTGATACTTAATGACCCCATGAGATAGGTACATCATTATCCTCACTCTGTAGATGAGAAAACTGAGGCACAGAAGTTAAGTAATGAGACCAATCACACAACCAAGAGCGGTGAGCTGGGACTTAAACTCGGGCAATTTGGTTCCAGAGTCTAAATATCTAACCAAATGCAATTCTACCTCTCACACTGAAATGCTACTTTATTCTTCTAACATTCCTAGTTCTTACTAAAGATCTTAAACTAGAATATAAACAAATTGTTGCTATTTAATTATGGTAGACTGAACCTAGGCCAATAAGAAATCGTGCAGTTGCTAGCAACTAAAACAGAGTGGTTGGTCAGCTCACATGGTAACCTCAACTTTAGAAAGATGCTTTAGAACCAAGAACTTTCTTTTTCTACAAAGTCTTTTTCAAAAGACTTAACCCCATGTCATTAGAATACAGGAGTTCTGAATTTGAGTTCTGGTCTGTCATTTATTAGCTGAGTAGTCTGTCTATAGGAGTGTGGGGGGAAATCCTATAACCTAACAGATTTTAGTGTTTGTTGGTTTTTAAAGAAAATATGAAGTAAAGGGATATTACAAATATTTACTCTATCCACATTCCAGGAACACTGTGGGTCAAATGATATGTGAAAGTGCTTTGTAAACTCATAAACAAAACACAAAAGTCACTGTTTTATTATTTGAGATATAATCAGTTTTCAATTAGGTTTCAGAAACAGGGAAAAACATCTATGCCCTTCTTCATTTTAATGACATAGAGATGAAGTACCTGGGATAAATACCAAAAGAAGATGATTCAGAGAACCATGAGAAGTTTATGGAAATGCAGCTCTGTTTCTGGGAATAGCATTGTACAATCCAGTATCAAAGAGCTTAAGACATATGTAAATGAAACAGTTGGTGCAGAATAAATACAGTAAGGGAAATTTAAAAATTTACAAGTCTAAGCCTTATAATTCCCAACCCTGAGCCTTCTTAGAGGACCTAAAGAGATCACATAATAAGCTTAGTTATGGATGTCATGGAAAGCTGGACCTGGGCCTTAAGTACATAGTACTCTAAGTACCTGTGCTTAGAGTATAAAATAAAACGAGGTATTCAAGAGATCAACCATAGAAATATTTGTAGGTATCTAGAAAATACTTTTATGTATATCCCTTGTTCTCTGTAAAGCCTTTTTTGTTAATAATCATGTTAATTAATCTACTTAATGGTTAACTAAAAGAGTATCTCATATTATAGACTAGATACATTCCTTTTTGTTTTGTTTTGTTTGCACTAGATACATTCTTAAAGTCATTTATGGCAAGCAAACATTTTCCTATTTTCTAGTTTTCTTAGTTTCTAATTGCATTTCAGAATCACTCTCATTTCATATTTTCTAGATATTCTAATTACAATACAAAGAAGGTAAAAGAGGCAAGTGGGAAAAGAAGAGAAAGGTCTTGATCCCCAGCTTGACAACAGCAGGCTCACAATCCACCATTTACATGTATCTCAACCAAGTACCAGAGAACAATTCTTATATTTCTGGAAAAAATCCAAGTATACACTCTTAAGAGCATATGTTCAATTTATTTCACCATTTCTCCCAATTCAGTAATGCCAAATTTCTGTGTGGTGAATCACTTAAATTAACAACATTCTAGTAAGTTATTTTTTTAAATAGCTTGCTACTCTGAACAGTGGTAAGTACCAGGAGCTGTCGTTTATTGGGTTCCTATTCTGCATTAGGTGCTTCGCATACACATCTTCATTTGATCTCAATGGTCCAGAAAAGGAAGTATTATGATAAAAATGTGCTACTCCAAACTTCAAATCTAATAACAAAGAACATCTGAAACTAATGTAATATTGTGCCAATTATAATTTTTAAAAAATCTAATAAAGAATAATTCTTTAAATCTTCATATAACTTTGGGGCATGAAAAGTCTTACATTGATATTTTCTAACTGCAGTAGATGTACTGTATAATATGACTTCACATCTTCTGACAAGAACTTCACACTGAATCCTGTTTCTTTAAACAGCATCTCCCGGTCGTCTTTTGTTGGCCAGTACTGTGCACATTTAACCTAAATTTAAGAATATGTATATAAATATATTTAGAATATAGACATTATAAAACCATAAAAAGTTGGGGGTAAAAACAAATCACATACATAGATACTATTTTTTTCAACAATCCAAATCTAAGAATAGTAACACTATATTTGATGTTTATTTTAATCTGATGGGCATTTTATAAGGGCAGGTTTGTAAAATGTTCCTATAACATATATAAAAGTCATAAAAGGTATCATACTCGTAAAATAAAAATGAAGCTGTCATTTCAAAAGCATAAAAACATAGAGTAACATCATACTGGCAATTCCCTTTATGTTTCCAAAAGTACCAAACACTTAGAAGAATCTTGTATTCAAACAATATTGAAAAGGCTCTACTTTATAAGTAGGTTCCATAAATATATATGAATCTACTACTAAATGCTACACATCTAGAAATAACACTACATATTTACTTACTAAAATTAAGTCAGACAAGAGTATCAAAAGGTAACCCACCTTTACCTAGAGTTATTACCTTTTGGCAGAACTACTAATATGAAATTAGGTTTGTGACAGTAAAAGCATCTTCCCAAAAGCCAAATTATGAAGCCAGTAGGCTGAGGCAAGGTTAGTCATTTCATTAATAAACCACATCATTTTAGAAAAGAAGATTAATTAAACTAAGAGGAACAGAGACATGAATAAATAAAAGAGATCATTTCTTAAGAGGAAAAGAAGAAAATTAAAATAAAATTAAAAAAGAAATGAAGTGACAAATAGAATTAGAGAGACATTGTGAGAAATATAAAAAATGGGCAAAGAAAACCTAACACATATATAATAGGAGGACCCAAAGAACACCAAAGCAAGCAAGAGAATAAATAATAAAAGTGTGGTTCAATAAATTTTTCTTTAAAAAGAGAAAAAAATATTTCAATTCACATAATGAAAGAGTACACTATGCACCTGGAGAAACTAACCCAGAATGCCCATCATAAGACATATTTAGGTACAATTAATAGAATGTGGAGAAAAAAATCCCTTGGGTAACCTAGGTTAAAAAAAAAGTGACTTATAAAGGAAAAACAGTAAGATTTCCATTTGACTTTGAAAGTAATTTGAATGCCAGAAAGAAATGAAGTAATATATTTAAGTTGCTCAAAGAAAAGCTAATGTAAAAAGGAGTTCATGTCTTGCCAAACTGTCTTTTAAGTATTATGACAGCAGGTAAACTGTTGTCAACATGTAAGAAATCAGGGACTATAATATAATGCCTGTGAGTCCTTCCTTAGGATCCACCAGAAAATGACTATAGACAGAACAACTGGAAAGACAGTAACAAAAACTGGTGATGAATATTAAATACACATTTACATGTAGAACTAAGATTTCTAGTCTATGGCCATACCACGCTGAACACGCCAGATCTTGTCTGATCTCGGAAGCTAAGCAGGGTCGGACCTGGTTATTACTTGGATGGGAGAACTAAGATTTCTAAAGGGATATAAGAGAGACTCTAGTATGCTATATACTCTGACAACATAGGTAAAACATAACACACACACACAGAAAGAATGGAGAAAAAAACTTTTAAACATTTTTCAGGAATTATTTTGGTGATGGAGTTGGTACTGTTTTTAGGACTAATATTTGTGTGAAATTTGGGACAAAGTAAATGAGTCGTTATAAAATATTCTACATCCCGCCGAAACCGGTTTGGCTCAGTGGATAGAGCGTCGGCCTGCGGACTGGAGGGTCCCGGGTTCGATTCCGGTCAAGGGCATGTACCTGGGTTGCGGGCACATCTACAGTGGGGAGTGTGCAGGAGGCAGCTGATCGATGTTCCTCTCTCATCGATGTTTCTAACTATCTCTCTCCCTTCCTCTCTGTAAAAAAATCAATAAAATATATTTAAAAAAAATAAAATAAAATATTCTACATCCCTAGTGTCTTTTGAGAACCAGAATGGAAGGTAACACATATAAAGTAGAACAAATTAAGCCAACCCCTATATTCCTAAATTTAATTTTGGAAATATCAGTATGAACTCCTGAGGTATTATTATCTTAACATACAAACGTATTTTTTTCTCTGGCTCTGTTCACTGAAAAGCTTTAAAAACAATGACCAACCCAGTAGCAAGGCTCCTTAAAGACATGCCTGAGCCTGGCCGCTGTGGCTCGGTGATTGCGTGGGGACCCAGGAACCAAAAGGTCAGTGGGTGGATTCCCGATCAGGGCACGTGCTGGGGTTTCGGGCTCAATCCCCAGTAGGGGGCGTGCAGGAGGCAGCCAATGGATGATGTTTCTCTCATCGATGTTTCTATCTCTCTATCCCTCTCTCTCTCTCTCTCTAAAAATCAATAAAAACACATTATATTTAAAAAAAGAAATGCCTGATTCCCTGGAAAAGAGTTAAGATGAGCCTTCAGTATGTAGTTATTCCAGATAGCAAGAAGGCTATTTAGGACTCTTAGGTTTGTTTTATTTATTTATTTTTTTTAAATATATTTTATTGATTTTTTACAGAGAGGAAAGGAGAGGGATAGGGAGTTAGAAACATCGATGAGAGAGAAACATCGATCAGCTGCCTCCTGCACACCCCTGATGGGGATGTGCCTGCAACTAAGGCACATGCCCTTGACCGGAATCGAACCTGGAACCCTTCAGTCCACAGGCCAATGCTCTATCCACTGAGCCAAACCAGTTAGGGCTCTTAGGTTTGTTTTAAAAGGACGCAGGGCCCAACTTGAAGAAGTAGCAGTAATCTCTTCAAGTAAAATGAAATTAATAAAATATTTTTTAATCCATGAGTTCATAATAATTGATATGCCCCTCCCTAAGACTAAAAGAACCCTAACTAGTCACCTGTTGAAGACACTAGGGAATCAACTGTTTTAAAAACTGCTTTTTCGCCAAAACCGGTTTGGCTCAGTGGATAGAGCGTCGGCTTGCGGACTGAAAGGTCCCAGGTTCGATTCCGGTCAAGGGCATGTACCTGGGCTGCGGGCACATCCCCAGTGGGAGATGTGCAGGAGGCGGCTGATCGATGTTTCTCTCTCATCGATGTTTCTAACTCTCTATCTCTCAACCTTCCTTTCTGTAAAAAAATCAATAAAATATATTTTAAAAAAAACAAACTGCTTTTTCTCTATAAAGGTGGTCAAGTAACTAGAATAAAAAAAAATTTTTTTTAAATATATTTCATTGATTTTTTTACAGAGAGGAAGGGAGAGAGACAGAGAGCCAGAAACATCGAAGAGAGAGAAACATCGATCAGCTGCCTCCTGCACATCTCCTACTGGGGATGTGCCCGCAACCCAGGTACATGCCCCCGACCGGAATCAAACCTGGGACCCTTCAGTCCGCAGGCCGACGCTCCATCCACTGAGCCAAACCGGTTTCGGCGAAAAAAAATTTTTTAATATAAGTATTTCAACATAAACTCAAAAAGGAATGATAAAATTGTAGTATCACTATTTTGTAACCCCCTAAACGAAGGAACTAAGGATTGAACAACAATGGCTGCTAACATCATAAAAAGAAAGATAATCAGACATTATAGACCTCTTGATAAATAACACATCACCACCTATGAAGTAATTATCCCCCAAATAATTAAACATGAATCCTCTTAAGTGTCTAGATCCAACCACCATAAATATGATCTCCAATTTTTGGTGGCAATCTTATTTATACAGTAATAATACACCAAAGTTTAAACATCAGATTAAAATAAACATCAAATAGCCCTCGTATTATGAGGGCTAAAACTAATAAAGCATCTAGTTTGCAATGCTGCTCAAGCTGTTTAAACTGACAATGCCATCATGACTTAATTTTTAAATCATATTGGAAACCATGAAAAATCACTGTAACTGATTGTTGGACATTCTGGTATGTCAATGCCACTTCAGAGATAAATTGGAAAAATTTTCACCACCATAGAAAACCAGCAACTATAAATTTAGATAACAATAAGAACCAGGAATCTGAAGTAGAATAGTTCAAGATCTTAAGGCTGAAAGAGACCTTAATGATAATACTTTCCAATGTGCTGAGTTGACAGAAAATCAATCTAAAGCTGCAGTTAAAAGACTTAAGCTACGTTATAGCAGTGATTAGCATTGTGTTTAGATTGTAATTCAAATTTCAAAACTTTCCCACTTACTATCTCATGACTTAAGAGCCAATAATAATCTATAAAGATTTTAAAAGTCTCATCACTTTAATCTTTTCTAAAACTTCCAAGATTTTTTATGATAATAAATTGTAAAGATTCTACTAAAGCCTAGGTGTTCAAAAGTTTTATGTCTACTCCTAGTTAGTATTTGTTCCATTATATTTATATCTTTGAGGGTTGTAGTCTGCAATTGTTACTTAAATATTTAAGGTAAAAAAGGAAAAGCATACTTTAGTTCTTTGGATAAGAAACACCACCTTTTAGCAATTAAAGCCCAAAAGTTATGAATGAATATCACAAAAGAAATATGAAAACATTTATAAGTTAATGATCACAAGCAGGACACTAAGCTGTAAATATTAATTATTACTCACCGATTCTTTCTCTACAACTCGGTTTAGCATCACAACTGCTTTCGTCTTTTGCTGCCAAACCATGAGCCAGAAATGACAACCTGTATTAGGAAGTGGACCCTGTAAGAACAGGGAAGAAAAAGTAGATTAAGAGAAAGGTGATGGAGTAAGGCTTGAGGAAAACTCCTTATAGTATGCTTCTGGTTGAGAACAATGTATTGGATCATAATTGGTAAATGACAACTTTAAATCCACTTGAATTTAAAAATATATCTGGGTCTGGGTCTGGCTGGTGTGGCTCACTGGTCAGAGTGTCATCTTGAGCACTGAAGGGTAACAGGTTCAGTTCCTAGTCAACAGCACATACCTGGGTTGTAGGATCAAACCCCAGCCCTGGTCAGTCTGGGCATATGCGGGAGGCAACCAATCGACGTGTCTCTCTCACATCATGTCTGTCTGTCTGTCTTCCTCCCTCCCTTCCTCCCTCCCACTCTTTTCCTTCCTCCCTTCCATGGTCCCCTGAAAAAATATTAAAGGAGCCCTAGCCGGTTTGGCTCAATGGATAGAGTGTTGGACTGAAGGGTCTCAGGTTCGATTCCAGTCAAGGGCATGCCCAGGTTGCGGGCTCGAACCCCAGTGGGGGGCATGCAGGAGGCAGCCAATCAATAAATCTCTCCCATCACTGATGTTTCTATCTCTCTCTCCTCTCCCTTCCTCTCTGAAATCAATAAAAACATTTCTTTAAAAGAGGGAGTTTGTGCAACTACTGACCAACCAACCCAAGTTAATTACAAAAAGAATGCCAGAAAAAGCAGAAATTTCCAAGTACCTAAACCACTATAACTGTTCATCTACAAAACTATAGCTTGTGTGACCTCAATAGAATTAAAAGGGGTAACATACTACAATAATGCCATGAGGAAAAAAAATCATATTACGTACTTCCAATTATCTTCACATTGTGTAGCATAGGGCAGAAAAAAGGACAAATAAGAGATCAAAGATCGTGCCCAAATTATGACTAATTTTAAATAAGTGAAGGTAAAAAAAAATGAGATTTCAATGTACCTAAAGTAACTCAGCATACATTAACCTCAGACGACAGGTGGTAGAGTGGTGAGTGAGGGTCAAGTCAGCCTGGAGCTTCAGCTCCACAAGGAAAACAAGGTGACTCAACTCGTGCCAGACTGAAAGCATCTGTACGGCAGGTATAGTCCCTGGGATGTAGCAGATGCTCTTAACTATTATTTGAATTCATAAACTCTAAGCTTCTAAGTTATTAAAATACTAGAATTCTAATGAGAATCCCAAGAATCCCTAATGTTGGAGGATACTGTTCTCACTCAATATATATTATCTACTGCTGGATCTAATTCTTAAAAAAAAAACAAAAACCAAAAAACACGAACACTGAAAATGGTAAAAAGAGCAATGGGTAAATCACCAGAAAAAAAATACCTTTTTTTTAAACTAAAAAAATGGATGAATCAACCAACCAATGAAGTCACTCCTAGTGTGCACCTACACACACACACACACACACACACACACACACACACACACACCACATTCTGTTAGTAGTTTTAAAAGGGGATAAAGGTTTATCTGAGCTCTCCCTCTTACCAGCAATACCACCAACTTTCTTCTGTGAAATGAAGATTTATACCAACGGGCTGATACGTATATGTTTTTTAAATTCATAAAACTCAGAGGAAAAGATGATAAAAAAGCAACAATACAGTCATAACAACTGAGGTTATAATAAACATTTAGCATCTTTAGTTTCCTCTATCCTTTGAAATATTTTCTGAGTATGTTCTCTTTCCAATGTACTAGGTACATGGGCAAGATCAGTCTCAGTCTTCATAGAACTTACAAAGGAGAAGAGAAGTGACTTGGAATGTAAGGAAGCACAAAAACAACAACACCCAATCATCCCTGGTTGGTGTGGCTCAGTTGGTTAGAAAAGATTCGATTCCCAGTCAGGGCACATGGGTTGATCCCTGGCCCTGGTACCAGTACAGGTGGGAGGCAACCAATTGATGTCTCTTTCACATTGATATTTCTCTCTCTCCCCACCTCCCTTCCACTCTCTCTAAAAATATCAATGCAAAAAATATACTCAGGTGAGGATTGAAAATAAACAAATAAATAAAAAATACCCATTTCAAATTAAAAGACACACAGACAGAAAGTAAAGGGATAAAAAGATGTGGGGGGGTAAAGTGGGGGGGGGGGGGAGAGCAGCTGTGGTACCAATACCTAGTATCAGACAAAATAGACTTTAAAACTATTAACAAGAGACAAAGAAACGCCCAGCAATTACACTTCTGGTTATTTATCTGAAGGCTATTTAATTCTGTCATAAACATATATGCATTCCTGTGTTCACTGCACCATTATTTACAATAGCCAAGATATGGACACAATCTAAGTGTCCATAGACGAATGAACAAAGAAGATGCGATACTATATACAATGGAATATTACTCAGCTATAAAAAATAGGAATAAAATCTTGCCATATGTGACAACATGGGTGGACCTAAGGGGTATTATGCTAAATTAAATAAGACATAGAAAGACAAATGCCAGATGATTTCACTTACATGTGAAATCTAAAAAACAAAACAGAAACAAACTCCATAGATACAGAGAACATTTTGATGGTTGTCAGATGGCCAGGAGGTTTGGGGGATAGGTGGAAAAGAAGAAGAGATTAAGAGGTACAAAATTCGAAGAAGGAACCCTGTAGGTTGCTGGGTGTAAAAGAAAAACAAAGACTTTTTTCTTCAAATTGAAACTCTTTAATTCCGGCCTGAAAATTATCCTAGAAGGAAATAAAAAGAGGTTTCCTTTAAACATCTAAAAAAAAAAAAAGAGGTACAAATTCCAGTTATAAAAACAATCACAGGATATAAAATACAGCAGTCAGTAATTTTTAATAATTATGTATGGTGAAAGATGGACACTAGACTTATCAGCGTGATCAGTTTGTAAGTTATGTAAATATCCAATCTCTATGTTGTACACCTGAAACTAATGTACGTTAACTGTAATACATGAAAATTTAAAAAATATTTTTAAAATGATTTAGGATAATTATTGTTTTCTTTTTTTTAACATTACAGTTTTTCCAAATAGAAAGTAAATTTTTTAACTCTAAGTTTATCGAAAAATGTCATTAATGCTCACAAGAAAAACTTCAAATATTACAGAAAGGCAGAAAAATGGCAAATAAAAGTCTCCATTCATAATTCCCAGAGACTGACTAATGGTATATGTATAATTTATTTGGCCAGACCCTTATAGATTATTTTAGTTCTATTACTTGTGGTCCTATGCTATCAAAATTAAATTGCAACAAACATCCAGGCATATATATTGATGTACATGTTTGACAACTGAGTATTATAAACTTTTAAGTCTCTGCTGTTCTGCCAAGTGAAAAGTGGTAGCTGATTACTGGTTTAAATTTGTATTCCCTATTTACTAGAAATATTGAGGATCTTTTCATATGTACATTACCAACTTATCTTTTTCTTTGAACTGTGAGTTGATGGTCTTTACCAGTTTTTTCACAGATTGTTTCCCCTTTTCTTTTTGATTAACAGGAACTGTCTTACTTCAAGCAAAATAAAGTAATTAATTTTAGTTCCTATGAATTAGAAATAATCTAATGGCTTACAGTTACATTCATTTTAACATCTTTTTATATTATCTTGATCCAAATTGAGTTTTTAAAAATCTTAATATTATAAATATACAACTTATCTTTGGAATATTTAAAAATCACTAACTAGAGGAAATGACATCACTATTAATTAAGTCTATTATTTAATAAATAAAGGTTACCTGGTATAGATAAACCAAAATAATTTCTATTATCTCAGAATGGGAGAAAGTACTGAAATATAGGTGTGGCCAATGTGCCAAGAAGCAATCAGGCAAAAATGCCAAAGGGAACCACCAGGCTCTCTGGTCTCCTAGTCAGTCCTCTGCCCTGAACAAAGGCCCAAGGGCAGGACACCACCTCGGGCGTGTGCATACTCTCAAAACATATATGCCAGAGAGGGGAGGAGCAAAGAGCTTTCAAAGGGTCTCTGGATATCACACAGATTATACGAAGAGAAATGGAAAAAGTTAATAAGAGATTAACAAAGGCTTTGTATCAAGTATAAAGCAAGGAAGATAATTTGCCTGAAAAGAACTGACTTGAGGAATTTCATCAAAAATGTTTCCTTCACAGAATATATAACATTAAAATTAATTTTACTTTTATCTTAAATATACAAAGTTGTAAAACATCATAATTTCTATAACTCATTACATAACATAGCAACAGAAGAAACTGAAATAGCATTTCACTTCCAAAAGAAGTCAAACATACTTTTATCTATGTTTTAAAGTCGACAATCACAGAAACTGCATTGTCAGTTATTTGCTCAACCTCACACCACTTGCCTGTGTTAAGATGTAACTCCTTTGTGCCTCTTCTATGTCCACTAAGCTGGCATTAATATAATCATTTTCAGCATTTTGCAGTTTAACACGACTGTGATCATCTGAAAAACAGAATAAGCCATAACTGTTATTTCAAACTTGTCATTTCCATTTTTAATTTTAATTTCTAGGTATCCTATCTAATAAAGAGGGAATATGCAAATAGACCATCAGGCTGTCACAAAGATGGTGGCGCCCATAGCCAAAGATGGCGACACCCAGTCCCCTCAGCCCCGCCGGTGTTCCCCAGTCCTTTCAGTCCCGCTGG